AGGAACAGACTCACAGACTTTGAGAATGAGCTTATGCTTCCCAGCAGGGGAAGGATGAGGGGAAGGGATCACTAGGGAGTTTGGGGTAGACCTGTATACACACTGCTATATTTAAAATGGCTAACCAATAAGGACCTACTGTATAGCACATGGAACTCTGCTCAATGTTATGTGGCAGCCTGGATGAGAGGGGAGTTTGGGGGAGAATGGATGCATATATATGTATGGCTGAGTTCCTTTACTGTTTACCTGAAACTATTACAACATTGTTGATGGGATATACCACAATACAAAATTAAAAGTTTTTTAAAAAAAGACTCCTCATTTCTAATGCAAGGGGCATGGGTTTGGTCCCTGGTGGAGCAATTAAGATCCCACAAGTTGCAAGGTACAACCAAACAACTAAAAATAATTTTCAAATATTAAAAAAGATGAAGAATTTGTCCTCAGAGCCAGCCCACTTGGGAGTCTCAGATCTGTTTCCAGGCTGGATTTTAACAAAACACAACGTGTTTCCTATCTAATGAGAGTACAATTTCAAGGGAGGGATTATCCAATAAAGTGCTCCAACACTTATCATCCTGAAGAGACAAGACTTCCCAATGCCAAGGATAAGACATTCCAGTATGAGTGTGGAGGGAGAAACCCTCCCAGAAAACCTTCCTGGCTGGGCATAGGGGGCAAAGAGGCCAGGCAGTGAAAGGGAAAACCTGTCATCACGCACAGTCCTGCAGGAAACCACACAGCCTCCTAGCTATGCCAAGCTTAGATTAACCTATCATGTCCTGAACACACATCAGAAACAAAAGCGGTCTTTGACTTTGCTGCTCCCTTTCTACTTCCTTCCAGCTGTCTTCCATGATACAAGCCCACAAGTGTGGGATCCAGGCCTCTCTCCTCAGCACCACCCATGGCGACCCCATTCTCTGTGATAGAAACACACAGTGTTTCTCCTTTGCGTGTGTGCCCTCCTTGGGCATTTTCATTTGCATTTTCCTAAACACTTCTTGGAAAAAATTCCTTAGTGGGATAAAGCACTATGCATGCCATGACTTAAATGGGTTTTAAGATCTGAGAACCTTGTTGGCATTTGGTGAGGAACTCCAGTAAGAAAAGCAGATAATGGGGGTATCTCAGATTGAAGCATGAGTGGAAGACGGTGAGCCTGGACCCGTGTCTGCTTAGTGGCTTATGTCTCCACTTCCAGTCCACCCCTCAAGGGCTCATCAGAGTCTGAGGGTGTCCCAAATGCGACTTGAAGACCTCTGCAATGAAGTCTTGCCCATATGTGGGGTGAGGGTGTTGGTGGTGATGGTGGTATTGGCACTGGCAGTGTTGGTGACGATGGTGTCTGGTGTGAAATGGTAGTGGTGGTGATGTAAATGTGGATGGAGGCGATGGTGGTGATCGTGATGGCACTGGTGGTCACGGCGGTCACTGGCATGATGGTGTAATTGTAATGGTGGGGGGGGGAGTGGGTTTTGGGGTGGTAGTAGTGACGGTGATCATGGCGGTGGTATTAGAGTCAGTTGTGACTGTAGTGACCACACTAGTACTGGGGGTTATGATCACAGAGTTGGTGGTGATCTGGTGATGGTGGTGGGGTTGTGTGTGCCATGGCTATGGTGGAGCTGATGCTGTGCTGATCATGGTAGTGAGCATTGTGATGGTGGTGCTGCCCCATCTGTAGTAACAGACAAAAAAATCCTATTGGAACAAAGGGTTTATTAAAATTATGTCAGTTTTAGGTACTACAGTAAGGAAAATAAGCAGGTAAACACCTGTTGAAAACCATGTTCCTATCTTTTGTTGGAGCCCATCTCTAGCGCTGAAGACCCCTGAGCTGTTCCGGGGTGGGGAGTGGGTCTCAGCAGGCACTGTGACACCCACAACACAGGGCAGCCAGGAAACGCACTCCTGCCTGAGTGAGTGCCTCGTGCCCAAAGGGCAGCCACCATTCAGACATCCCTTCCCTGGATACAAGGCTTCAGGAGCTGAGCCTGCAACCGTGAGGCAGGAAGAGACGTAACCATGTGTTGAGCTGGGGCAGCAGCCCAGGAACCATGCTGAGGACAGCCTACTTCAGAGGGACCTGCTTCAACAAGGACCAAGGTGGCTGGCAGACTCTCTACCTCACTGTTCTGTGTCCCAAAAAGTAAACACTTATGTATCAGTGTCAACAAGACGTAACCTAGCAGCCAAGAAAGGCTCAGCCATGAAGAAGACTAAGCACAGAAGAACGGGTGCTCTGTGGGGCTGGAGAAGCCTCGAGGGCCCCGTGGACAGCAAGCTCCAACCAGTTCATCCTGAAGGAAGTCAACCCTGAGCATTCACTGGAGGGACTGATGCTGAAGCTGAAGCTCCACTACTTTGGCCACCTGATGGGAAGAGCTGACTCATTGGAAAAGGCCCTGATGCTGGGAAAGATAAAAGGCCGGAGGAGAAGGGGATGGCAGAGGATGAGGTGGCTGGATGGCATCATTGACTCAATGGACATGAGTCTAAGCAAACTCCAGGAGATGGTGAAAAACAGGGATAATGAACACTGCAGCCTGGCGTGCTGCAATCCACGGGGTCACAAAGAGTTGGACACAACTGACTGGCTGAACAACAAAGCGAGCGACTGAGGCAGCATGCCAGGGCCTTCCACACAAAACTGCACCTGTTAATAATTTTAAGTAGAGCTGGGATTTTTTTGTAATTTGTTTTTATTTCAACTGCTCAGGACAAGGCATGCACCTGGACATAGAATGGGTGCTTCACATTTTGGATGAGCGACTCTGGAGTCTGAACTTGACACAGTTCCCCATGAGTCAACTGCCCTTTAAACCAGAGTTCCCCAGCCACCCGCACCCTCAAGTACAGATATCAGTCCCAGCCTCCATTGCCCACTCCTGAGCCCACTGATTCAAATGCTAATCTCAACTGAAAACACCCACACACACAGCCAGAAATAATGCTTTATCTTAGCATCCCATGGCCAGTCAAGATGACACATAAAATTAACCATCTCACCATCCCTAGGCCATTGAATGCTGCCCAGCTGTTAAAAGAAATTATTTAGATGTGAGAATATTCATGTGGAAAGATGCTCATGAAACATAAATTTAAAAAAAAAGAAACTTGGCCATAAAAATATGTATATTAGTTTTCCTATTGTGTTGTATGAGACGTGCATACATTTATGTTCAAGTGTGAATAGAAAAACATTTGGAAGGATAGTCAACAAATTATTAATCATGGTGAAAGCAAGAGAAGATTTCAGGGTGATTTTTTACTTTATAAATGAAGCTGTTGGTTGATTCTTTTGTTACTAGCATATACTATTTGAAAGTGAAACTTAAAAATTATCCACTGTTTGAAAAATAAATATTGATGTTTGGCTTCACTGAGTGCTATGGACTTAGACACTTATCATAAATAGGGAGGCATTTTTATCTCCAATAAAAAGAGATTATTCATAGCAATTATTGATACATACCTGAACAAAACCCCAAAAATCCTCTTGTACACATGTGTATGGAACAGCTTGGCTTGAAGTCAGAAGGGTGGGATCAAGCCAGTGTCCACAGATGGCGCAGTGGAGATGTTGAAGAACGTGGCTTGTTCAGTGGTTAAAATCTTGCTCACTAGATCAAGCTATTAGATACACACAACAGTGATGAATCTTTAAAAAAAAAAAAAAACAACTCCATCTACCAAGATGCCAGAGAAGTGGACCCTCTAGCCCAGGCTTTACAAGAACATCCATTGGGTGGGAAAACAACGGTAGGTAAGGCTTACTACAGTCTGTATGTTTGCATCCCCTGCAAAATTCATATGTTGAAAACCTCAGGTCCAAGGTGATGGTATAAGGAGAGGGGACTCTGGGGTGATTCGGTCCAGAGGGCAGAGCCCTCACAGATGGGGTCAGTGCCCTCGTAAGGAAGGCCCCACTTCCCTGGTGGCTTGGTGCTAAAGAGTCTGCCTGCAATGCAGGAGACCTGGCTTTGATCCTTGAGTCAGGAAGAGCGCCTGGACAAGGGAACGGCAACCACTCCAGTATTCTCGCCTGGATAATCCCATGGACCCAGGAGCCTGGTGGGCTGCCGTCCACGGGGCCACAAAGAGTCGGACATCACTGACTAACACACACACGCACACAAAGGAAGCCCCACAGAGCTCCTTTGCCCTCGCACCATGGGAGCACAGGGGAGGCCTCGGCACAGAAGCGCGCCCTCCCTGGGCTCGCTAGCACTCTGCTCTCAGACTTCAGGCTCCAGATCCGTGTCTAAGCAGCTCAGGCTGTGCAGCTGCCTTACAACAGCCTGAGTGGACCAAGACAGGGTTCTCTGATGCCCCCAGAAGACAAAGGAACCTCAGAATGTTCTCCAGACACGTGATCTGGCTTCCTCATGCTTGCAGTACAAAAAAATTAGAATAAAATAAAAAACGCAGGAGAAGGTAGATAAACAACAAGGTCCTACTGGAGAGCACAGAGAACTATATTCAATATCCTATGAGAAACCGGAATGGAACACAATATGGGAGAGAATGTGTGTGTGTGTGTGTGTGTGTGTGTGTAACACTGAGTCACTTGGCTGTATAGCAGCAGTTAACACAACACTTGAAATCAACTACACGTCAATACAAATTGTTTCAAGCGCAAGAAAAGCTGCCCTCCACACATAGTGTTGGGGCTCGGACTCAAACACACCAAGTCAAAGACGTTTTTGAGACAATTGGGGAAATCTGACTCTGGAGCAGGTGTTCGATGATAAGGAATAGTTGCCAATTTTATTTCACTGAACAGTAGTTTTCTAGAGCTGTTTTTCCAAAGTCCGTGCGTTTCAGCACTGCACACACACAGCCGTCAGGGTGAAATTGCATGGTGGCACAAAACACCTCGGCAAAGGGCAAGGAAAGAATAATATGGAAATCCAGAGAAATCATGCTAGCCACCAGTGCTGAGTGAGAGACGGTCTTTCAGTGTAAACTTCTGTACTCCTTTGGCTATGTAGGTGAACTGCGTGCAAAAGTGTAAGAAGTGGCTGAAGGAAACGCGTCCGAACTGAAGGTGGCGTCTCTTGGAACAGAGAAGAGCCTGGGGCAGTGGGCAGAGAGCCCCGCGTGAATTGTTGTGCCTCTCACCTCACAGGCAGGGACTTCCCTGGTGGTTCAGTGGTTCAAAATCCACCCTCCGCATCAGGGAACGCAGGCTCAATCCCTAGCCAGGGAGCTAAGATCCCTCATGCCAGGAAGCTACCAAGCCTGCGTGCTACACCAGGAGAGAAGCCACAACAAAGAGCCCATTGACCCTACCTCCATCCTTCCCATTTCCACATGCAAGTTGTCCTGACCTGCCCCATCAGTGGACCTTGAGTCTGTAGAGGAGGCAGATAATGTCTTTTTCAGTTTGTAGGTTGTCGATTGAAAAAAAAATGCACAACCTAATAGTTGAGAGTTATGTTTTATTCAGCAGACATTTGAAGGACTTTAAGCCTGGGGCACAGCATCTCAGATAACGCTGAGAAATTGTTCCAAAGAGGCAAGTGGGAAGCCAGGATATATAGGGATTTTTGCAACAAAAGACCAGGTAGTTGGAATATCAAAGGATTACTGTTAATAAAAGAAAATGAGATAAGTTAAGGAATTTAGTGCTTTTCTATGTATGGGAAGATGCATGAGTTTGGGCTCCCTGAAATCATTCCTTTTTTTGAAAAATATTTTGAATTTAATTTTTACTTTGTATTGAAGTATAGTTGACTTACAATGTTATGTTACTTTCAGGTATACAATGTAGTGATTCAGTTATATATATATATATATCCATTCTTTTTCAGATTCTTTTCCCATATAGGTTATTACAGAATACTGAGTTCCTTGTGCAATACAGTAAGTCCTTGTTGATCATCTATTTTATATATAGTCATGTGTATATGCTAATCCCAAACTCCTAATTTATCCCCCCACCCCGCCTTGCCCTGTTCCCCCTTTGNCTTCAATCTGTCCCAGCATCATGGTCTTTCCCAATGAGTCAGCTCTTCACAACAGGTGGCCAAAGTATTGGAGTATCAGTTCTTCCAGTGAATATCAGAGTTGATTTCCTTTAGGAATGACTGGTTTGATCTCCAAGTTTTTGCAACAAAGGACTAAGTGTTTGGATGAGTGCTACTAAGGGAAAACCAAGTATCTCAAGTTAAGAAATTTAGCAGTTTTCTATGTCTGGGAAGATGCAAGAGTCTGGGCTCACTGAAGTCATTCCTGTGATTGCACCTCAGCTATCTGGGGCCAGCATCCTGTGCTTTCTCATCCTGAGTCCTCTCAGGGCTCACCATCCCAGTGGTTATAAAGTGAAGGTTTGATGGCTGGAACATCTTTGTTTAATGGTTTGGCAGGTAATATTTTAGTTCTCAAATGGTTTTAAAATAGAAGTCAAAGAATGGTAAAAGCAAGAGCTTGTGGAACTCATGGAAAGAAATATCCCACAGAGACCCGAGAAGCCTGCTCAAGGAGCCAAGAGCAGGAGCCAGGCGCCTGACCTTGCAGGTGACATGGGCTGCGGCTGCCCTGACCGCCAGAGTACCGTGAACTCCGGAGCACCATGTGGGTGCGGAACCTCACACAGGTGTGTAACACACATACGGAGGTGACAGGCCCCGAGAAGCTCAGACAGTTGGCCATCCTGCTCAGATGTGAATGAAGGGGCCCAGAGAAAGGGCTTCGCAGCCGGACCCCCGGGGCTGGGGGAGCATGAGGACTTACCTCTTTAGGATGCACATCATTTCTTACAATACTGGTTGGCATTTAAAAGCACCATACATTTAGCCTATTAAAAAACTATCAGGTCCCTACTCTTCCAGGCACTCAAGTACCATAAAATAGTGGCTGATTTCAGGTTACATAAGCTAGGCATTGTCCCAGCTGGCCAAACCTGTCCCAGGAAGCCCCAGACTGTGTGTTCAGCATCTTCACCCCTCCCAGGGTATTGGTGATGGGGCATCACCATGCTAGCAGGGGTCCCAGTTCATTCCCATCAAGCACTGGGACCCAGGCTTGCCACACGGAGACCCCAACTATTATCACAGGTGTGTCCTCCAAGGTCCTTGCCCGCCCCCTTCTGTCCTTGGGAACTGCCCTGAATGTCTGGGATGGGTCCCACATAGCCTTGTCCCAAATCTCACCTCTCTGAGATAAGGCTTTTCTTCAGTTTCTGCAGCAAGAACATCCTCAGAGAGATGACAAAGGCATCCGGGAGATTCCATGGAAGAAACAGTGAAGAATTATTGCTCTAAAAAGAAAGAGGAAGAAAGGGGGAAATGTCTTAGTGGATTAAGGACACCCAAAATAAAACTGGTGAGAGAGCAAATCCTACCTGGGATAATATGAAATGTTGACCTTTTACTTTCTAGTATTTGTTTGCCTGCTCCAAGTCTGAGTTGTGGCACGCGGAATCTTTGATCTTCATTGCAGCATGTAAACTCTTAGTTGAATTATGTGGTTGGATCTAGTTCCCTGACCAGGGATCAGAACTGGGCCCCCTGCATTGGGAGCATGCAGTCTTAGCCACTGAACCACCGGGGACGTCCTATAATGTTGACCTCTTTTTTGGGCTTTGTTGATTTCCACATTTGGAAGGTGGGTATCACTTTTATCATCAGAAAATGTAAGTCTAAAAATTTTTAAAGACTTAGCAACTCAAAGTGAGTGGAGTACTTTTGGGGACAATCAGATTTCACCTGTTTTTCATTCATAAAATCTTGACATGGGACAGGGATTGGAATTCTGGCTACCCACATAGAGTCAAGTGCTGGCAAAATTGCATTTGGGAGATGGATATCGTCATGTGTAGCAAATGAGGCTAACCAGTTCAAGGTTATGCAAACATCTCAACCACTGGGAGCATTCAGTGATGGAGCCCTAGCCAAATAGGAAGAAATATTTTCAGCTGTGTAGAGTAATCACAGCTGGAATGGCCACATTCTGATTGCTTTAACAATAGCCATCTTTCCCGATTTTATTTTTTAATATTTATTTATTTGGCTGCACCGGGTCTTAGTTGCAGTATATGAATCTTTGTTCTTTGTTGTGGCAGGCAGGACCTTCTAGTTGCAGCATGCAAAATCTTTAGTTGCAGCATGTGAACTCTTAGTTGAAGCACGTGGGATCTAGTTCCACGTCCAGGGATCTTGCATTGGGAGCTTGAACTCTTAACCACTGGTCCACCAGGGAAGTCCCTCTTCTTTGATTTAAATCAGCAAATGCAAATGTGAAAATGTCCACACCTCAGCCGTGTAAGTGTAAGGATGAGCCTCAAGAAAATCCACAAAAGTGGTTCTGTGCTGAAATGGAGACAAAAGTTTTGCTTTTGACCTTTGTGAGGGACTTAACTGCTGGCCCTCCACTGCCCACCCTCCCTCTGAAAGTAGTCCTCAGTTTGCCTTCTCCGAAGCAGTCAGGGGTCCTTTGAAAGTGTCCCCAGCTTGTGCTTTATCTGCTATCTGATGGTGCTGAGTTAGGAGTTTGGATTGGTGAGCCCAAGAAGAAGGAAGCAGATTCGGGAGCCAAGGTGCCAGTATGCTATGGTTTTAGGAAATGGAGTGATTTTTTTTTTAAGGTATAAACCAGAAAGACTGTGATTAATTCACACTAACCTGAGCTAATCTGTAAAATGCAAAAATATCCATGCATTATTCACACAAACTAAGTGATTCACGGACAGGTTCTCTCTGATTATTCATCCTACATACACAGACTGGTGGGCAGCAGCCACATGACACCCACCCCTCAGGGAAAACTCAGGGAAAGAAGCAGGATTCCAGTCTTGTCTGCCAGCCTCCAAAGTAGCCACCTCCTCCCAGCGTCCAACACCCCTGCAGAAGGCAAACCTGAAGGTGAGGAGAAATAGTGTAAATGTAACTACAACTTAATTACAAAATGAAAAAAAAAAAAGAAAACCTTGAGGGTTGTTTCATTTCCTGCTAGTTTCTTGGGTTTCTAACAGTTCCCGGCACAAGGTAACTGCTCAATAAATACTCAAATAAATGAATCAGTGAATGAAGTTGCCAAAATAACTGATGCTTTATAAAGTATATGAAAGCACCATTCTTGTCCAATGAAAAGTGATCATAGCTAAGATGACATCAACTTAAATGGACATGAGGATCAAAAACCACATGCTTGCATCATCATTTTGAAAATCACCCAGAAGCATCCAGTACAAGTCTGGAGCCTAAGCCACACCTCCTCCAGCCACCTCTCTCTGCTGTGTCCACCCCTGCTCCTCTCTCCATCTGCCCACGTGTCCTGGCTGGGAGCCTCGCTTTCACCCCAGCTTCCTCTGTCCTCTGCACCACCCACATCAAACCTACCACCTGGTCACCCACCCTGGCCTCCCGGTTCACCTTCCCTGAAGCCACACTCGTGCTCCCCAGCCTCTGCGATCCCTTCTATGGGCAACAGTCCTTCACTCCACTGACAGAGTGCAGTGCTTAGCTGTTGTTTAGTCGCTCAGACGTGTCTGACTCTGTGAGACCCCATGGACTGTAGCCCGCCAGGCTCCTCTGTCCATGGGATTCTCCAGGCAAGAATACTGGAGTGGGCTGCTATTTCCTCCTCCAGGGGATCTTCCCAACCCGGGGACTGAACCCGCATCTCTTGTGTCTCGTGCAACAGCAGGTGGATACTTTACCACTAGTGCCAACTGGGACACAGGGCTTGCTACAACTCTAACTGGGTCACATAACCCCTTCTCCAACTTCCCTCAACTTTCTGTTGATGAGATGGGTCTAGATAGATCCCTCAACAACACACAAGTCAAGCACTCAGCATGGATTTTTACCTAAGTGATCCCTCACAATGTCCCAAACTTGGGTCCAACCATTACCTCCTCTAATAGTTGAGAGAGCTGAGATGGAGGAGAGATAGCAAAGAGGAGGTTGCAGGGTCCCCCAAAGTAAGGCAGTTCTGTTGAAAAAGTTGAACTCAAAATTAAATAATAAAAAACATAAACTCTCCCCTAAATCAGCCATCCATGCCCCCATGAAAATATCAATCATCATGGCAATGATGAAATGGTAATAATAATCAGTGATGTTGGGCTGTTGGAAAACTGTGTTGAGCCTGCAGGGTTTTGGAGATCATCCATGAAAAGTCCTATTGTTGCTCTCTTTGGAACTTTTAAGCCTGATATCAACCATGTCAGAGTTCCCTGTTGACTGCAGTTGGGGACCCAGAGGAATAAGATGGGCCTCCAAGGAGTCTTTCTTGGGAGCTCTCATTCAAAACACTACTCCAACACACC